CTCCCTTACTTACTGATGTGTACTTGAGCAAGCCTGTCCAATGTGCAGCCCACGGCCCAGGACAGCTCTGAATGTGGCCTAACACAATTTCGTAAACCTTCTTAAAACAGTCTGACATTTTTTTTGGTGATTTTTTTTTTCCTTTTAGCTCATCAGCTATTGTTGGTGTTAGTGTATTTTATGCGTGGCTCAAGACAATTCTTCCAAAGTGGCCCAAAGAAGCCAAAAGATTGGACACCCCTGTTCCAGATGAGTTTTATAGCTCAAACTTTATTTTTGGAGAACAATTTTTTCAGAAAGAGCCATTGATGCTTCAGCCTTATCTAAAGCCATGCACTCACTCACTCACTATAATGACAGGGACAGGCAACACTGCATTATAGGTTTTCCTAATAAAACCTATAAAAAGGGTTACTTTCAGACCAGAAGACCAACTTTTCTGTGAAATTATAGGTAGAGAAAATTCATATTTTTATCATTATCTCTAAAAAAGAAACGAGAAGGATAATGATAGTTGTAGTCTCTAAAAGAGAAAATAGTGCTGGAGTTGATAAAAATTGAATTAAATAATTTTTCCTTCTCCAATTCCAGGCCTATTCAATCATTTTCTGATTCCTCAACTGTTAAAATAAGCCTAGACAGGCCAGGCGCCGTGGTTCACACCTGTAATCCCAGCAGTTTGGAGGCCAAGATGGGCAGATCACTTGAAGCCAGGAATTCGAGATGAGCCTGGCCAACAAGGCAAAACCCCGTCTCCACTAAAGATACAAACATTGGCCCAGCTCACGCCTGTAATCCCAGCTAATTGGGTGGCTTATGCCTGAGAGTCACTTGAACCGGGGGAGGCAGAGGATGCAGTGAGCTGAGACTGCACCACTGCACTCCGGCTTGGTTGATAGAGAGAGACCCTATCTCAAAGTAAAAAATAAAAAGCCTAAAAAATGTCAGAAAACAACCACATAAAGCTACCCACCCACCTATAATAGAAACAGGTCATTTTACACCTGGCTCAGACCAGATTTTTGCAGATTTTGCTTTAGGGACCAAAGAACAGGTTGAGATTGCCTACTTCTGTTCTTTGCTTCCAAGCATCTTACCATAAACATCTGCCAAGTTTATAAGGAGCATGTCGCTAAGTTGCATTTTATTAGTTGCTGCCAACAGCTCTTACTTCTGATGGAAATGAATTGAAAAAAAAACCCAACTGCTGCTTTTTCCACACTTTTATCACCAAATGATAGTACATCCATATATGACTGTAGATATTTCTTTTACAGTCTATACACTTGCTAGTTAAAATGTATTATCATAAAAATGTATTTAATGATAAAAATGTATCATTAAAATGTATTATCATAAGCCACCATTCAGAATTACTTGGGTAAAATGCTATGTCACCTACAAACCAACCCTCATCTGATTAATCTGGAGGTTGTAGTCACTGTCTCAATGGTTTCTGGCTTGTGAAACTTCTCATGCTTTCTGTACTGGCTGGCTGACAGCCAGGTCCCCCGCCTCTGCTACTGCCTCCACCCATAAGCATGCTACAGTGGAGTCCAGCCTTTTTTGGTCTTGCCAATCCAGGAGCAGTGCAAACCAGTTGAATCCAACTTTATCACAGTCGCAGTAGGCAGGGATCATTAAGTTTACGATTTGCCAACCTAAGATCAAGTTACAGGTCTTAAAGTGATTTATTGCAAAAGGATAGCTTGGCCGCCGAGTGTGACTTTCCCATGTTTTTATGTACCCTATGGGATTCTAAAACAGGAAATCAAACCTGAACATAAATGACCTCTTGCCAGCTTGCCAGTTCTCCAAATGACAAGCTTGTGACAAAAGAGAAGAGAAAGGCAGTGTCATTTTAAAACCGTGTAGCTAGAATCTGATCCAAGTACATAATCAACATTCTCTTCCCTATTTTCCTTTGGTCCTTCAGTCTGTTATCACTGTTATTACCTTGTTCCCCACAGACATGGAAAATTCAAACCTGTTTCTAGTTGACACATACGCTGCAATCTTCCTTTCACATTGGCATTATGGTTTTCACTAGAAGAGGTAGCAAATAGATGAACATCTCAGAGAATGTAGCTTCTAAAAATGCTGTTTTGGACCAGGCACAGTGGCTCACGTCTGTTAATCCCAGCACTTTGGGAGGCCGAGGCAAGTGGGTCACTTGAGGTCAAGAATTCAAGACCAGCCTGGTCAACATGGTAAAGCCCCATCACAAAAGCTAGCTAGGCACAGTGGCCGGCACCTGTAATCCCACCTACTTGGGAGGCTGAAACAGAAATGCTTGAACCAGGGAGGCGGAGGCTGCAGTGAGCCACCACTGCACTCCAGCCCAGGTGACAGTGAGAGACTCATCTCACAAAAAAAAAAAAAAAAGCTATTTTTACTTGACTGGGTACGTTGGTGTGGAAAGTAAAAATAATGTAATGGTGTGAAAAGTAAGGGTTATCTTATTTAGAGTCTCACTCTGTCACCCAGACTGGAGTGCAGGGGTGTGATCTCAGCTCGCTGCAACCTCTGTTTTTCCAGTTCACGCAATTCTCTTGCCAGCCTCCCAAGTAGCTGGGAGTACTGGCATGCACCACTATGACCAGCTAATTTCTATATTTTTAGTAGAGATGGGGGTTTCACCATGTTGGTCAGGCTGGTCTTGAACTCCTGGCCTCAAGTGACCTGCCTGCCTTGATCTCCCTAAATGCTGGGATTACAGGTATGAGCCACTGTGCCCGGCCAGTTATCTTACTTTAAAATTATAAAGCCGGACAGGCACAGTGGTTCACACCTGTAATCCCAGCACTTTGGGAAGCTGAAGTAGGTGGATCACAAAGTCAGGAGTTCAAGACCAGCCTGGCCAAGATGGTGAAACCTGTGTCTATTAAAAATACAAAAATTAGCAGGGTGTGGTGGAAGGCACCTGTAATCCCAGTTACTCGGGAGGCTGAGGCAGAGGTTGCAATGAACCAGCATCACGCCATTGCACTCCAGCCTGGGTGAGAATGAGGCTCCATCTCAAAAAAAATAAAAAATAAAAAATAAAGCTGATATATCACAAAGTAAAAACAGGGGAAAACAAGTCACAAGAAATAGAAAGGTTAGATGCTTCTTGTGCTTCTTTTTGTAAAATATAGATGATCCTCAAGCAAGAAGTAGCTTGGGTAGATTTTCTACTGGCTTTCAAATTGATAACCTACACCCCCTGTAAATTTTTTACATTCCTTAACAGAGGTAATCACAGGAACTTCCAAATAATTTCTCAGTGGAAACGCATCTTCAAAATCACACATGGCTCATAAGAGTTTAGCTTTTTTATGCCTTCTCAAAGGACCTAGATTGCTAGGTTTTTAAATAACTAACCAGATAGGCTTATTATAGGCTTGTTAGTTAGTTCCCCACTAAAAGATATTATTTCTTTGGCTTAGCAGTCATTTTTCTGTGTTCTAGAGCTTTATGCTTTTTTTTTTCCTATGCTTTTTTTAAAGTATGCATTTACAACGGTTCTCCCAAAAACGAAACCACCATAAGAGCTGTTGTACTCGGGAAGCCCCAAATGATCTCTAGAGCGCTCTTTCTTCACTGTTCTTTTTGATTAATTTGCCCATGGTATGCCATCAACGTTACAATGGAGACAGAGAGAAAGCACTTGACCTAACCTGTTAAAGAAACATTTGCAACTTACTGGTTTTTTACAAGTCTTTAATTAAAAAACTCAACAAAAATATATAATTGAGCATTTTACATAATGCATACATTCTTAATATCTGCAGGCAAGATAAATAACAGAAGGCAAAAGCAGATATACTGTATTGCTTCTCTTTGGCAACTCACCAATCATCCCCTGCAGTTTTTTGTTTTTTTTTTTAATCCATGGTCTTAAAATAATTGTCCCTTAGTACAAACAAAATATTTAGCAATAATACAGAAGATGGATTTTTCAAATTAACACAAATTTATAATACTTTAAACCACAAGGGTAAACTAATAAGCTGCTTTCTAAAATTAAGGCAGCAGCAGTGTTTAAAGGAAGAAGGAAAAAAAGACATCCTTTTTCTAGTTATATCCTGGCTCTGTCTTTTCTTCGTTGCTACTGTTTTCAAATAATGTCACATTCAAACTCTACGTCTTAGATGCTATCCCTAAGGATAATAAAATCCTTTCCCTGTACATAAAAAACTGTGTTTCACTTCCAGGTCAGTCTGACACCCTCCAACCAAACACATTTCTTTCTTTCTTTCTTTTTTTTTTTTTTTTTT